CACGATATATTTCTTAATTTTGGTCGATCCGATATAATTCCGATATCGATATGAACACTATGAAAAAAAGCCTCATAAAAACTGCCAAGAACACCCACAACAGATGTCTGTACCTACAAACTTAAGAAAAATGAATTTTTCCAAGTCTATGAAACCTCCTATAAAACTATATAATGTTTAAGAAAAAAAAAACAGCACAAATAAATTAATGTTCACCTTATATCAAACTATAGGCTGACATACACTACTAGTCAGAAGTTTTTGAACAGTAAGATTTTTAATGTTTTTTAAAGAATTAACTCACCTAATTAAATTGCTCACCAAGCCTACATTTATTTGATCCAAAATACAGCAAAAACAGTAACATTTTGAAATATTTTTACTATTTAAAATAACTGTTTTCTATTTAAAAATATTTTAAAATGTGATGTATTCCTGTGATTTCAACACACACCTAAAGCCCCCCTAAAAATGGCCAAGCAGGAATACCAAAATAAACATAATTTGTATTTACCAAAACCATAACAGGAGAATACCTACAGTACCCACGCAATAAGGCCAACATATCTGGTGAACGAGACCTTACCAAGATCAATCGAAACACAGGAGTATACATGCTACAAACAAAGAAACCTAGATGAGAAACAGATGAACCAAATCAAACAATCCATCAGTAACCACTAAACTAATTAATACCGGGAACAGCAGAAACAGGAAACAAACACATGAGCTAAAGAAAACACAAACATTACATAATCATGACAGAAATGGAGCAGAGCTGTTTTAAATTCACTGTAAACCATGGCTTAACAGGGCTTATTGCTTTATTTGATGTTTCTGAGATCTGAGTTAGTTAGAAGCTGTACTTGCATGACTGGCATGAAAAAACTGTTTGGAGAAGGGCAGCAGCTGGGTGACTGACATCTTGTTTGAGTGGTAAAAATGAAAAACTAATTTTAACAACCATTTTGTGACCAAAACTTTTTTCCCTATTGTCACTAGATTTTGAATGCTTTTTTTACATTTAATTTATCTTAATTTTTAAATACTCTAATTACAAATTCTATAGCTGTGATGCATTAATTTCCATTGCCTCTACCAAAGAGAAAATTTCTTTAGGAATTGAATGTTTAACATGATTAAATCTGAAAGCGTACTTGAATGTAAATGACTGAATCTAAAGCTAATATCTAATAGCCCTTGCATGCAGCATCATGTTTAACAAATGTCCTGAATCTTTGCTGCAGACAGCTGAAATGTGCACCATCAAATTCCATTGCAAAGTGTGGAGAATGATGTAGCTTAATTTAAACGAATAGTTCAACCCAAAAATGAAAATTTGCTGAAAATGTACGTATTTTGGCCAGAAGCAATGGTTTAAAGTTAAAATGGCTAATGATGGATTTGTTTTAAATCCATACAGCTTTTCACTTCACTTGGTGAGCAAGGAATGTTAATGTAATCTGTAATGTTAAATGCTGGTGTCCAGATGATATATACCATTCCATCCATGCATTCTTTTTTTAGCTAATGCTGCCTATACAATCCCTTCTTCAATAAACGATGAGTTTTTGTCATTGTCTTCTGCCTCTTTAAAAATGTAAGAATAGCAACAAATTGTTTGTGTATGAACCTTAAAATAAATAAATAATTAAAAAATAAAGCATTTAGTTGACCTGGGGCCTGTTTCATAAAACAAGTTTACCAAA